AGGACGTGCAGGCTTCCCTGATGGGGTGAGTGTTTGCAGGATGATCATCTTGTAGATGAAGCACTCTCATTTTATGATAAATAGCATTGGAAATCAGTTTGTTTGCTGAGCTGCAGACACAGAGCAGCTGCCTGGGCATCGTGGGACCCTCAGCCTGGAGTGAGGGCAGGGGACAGCAGCCCCGTTTGATGCTGAAGGTATCAAAACACTTCTTGGCAGCTCTAGATTGAATTCCTGCTTCTGTCCCGTTTTTCCTAGGTGACKTTGGCTGCGTCTCTGTGTTCCCGTTGTGCTGCGGGATGCTCCGCGGAGGGTGGCCGGGCTCTGCTGGCGCTGCTGCCGCCCCTGCTCAGCCAGCCCTGACGGAGCCGTCGCTCCATCTGCTTCCGCAGCAGCTCCCCGACCCTTCTGCGCCTCATACCCTCGCTGCCCGTGAGCTCTGCCTGCCTGCGCCTCCCTCCAGATGCCATCAATGCATTTGGATGTGACATCCATGAATCGCACGCTGCCTTCTTATATCTCCTGGCAAACTTCACTTATTTCCTTCTGGCTCTCCCTCCCTATACAGAAAAAAACTTGTCTGACTCATCCATACCCCCAAACTCCCTAGATGTTATGCCTGAATTCAGTGATTATTTTAATTTATAGTGCTTGGCTTAAAGTAGCTTAAAACACATGTATTTTAGCTAGCAACTCCCCAGGGACCTTGTTCAGCACTAATTGCTTGCTGTTTGTGCAATTCTTCAAATATGTAAAATGCTCTGTAAGGACTCGGAAATACTACCCTTTCCTATAGCGTAGGCTTAAAGATAGGTCAGGATGTCTTGCCAACGTGCAGGTCTGGGAACTGGGATGCATTGGTCCAAATTCTTGCTCTGCAGAGACTGTGCTGTTCTAGGCAAGCTGCTAAACTGCTCTACAGCTTGGATTTCCTGMAAGGAAATATCTATACATATATCCCTGCAAGGGTTGTACATGTATTTTTAATTGAGCTAAAAATGCACGTTGAAGGCTGAATACTGGAATGCTTGGAAATTACAATTGAAATACATTATCACAAGCTTTATTAGTAGTAATTCACTCGGAGCAGATTTAGTTCAGATCATGTTTTCCCCCTTTGCATGGAGGGGGAGGAGATGAGAGGCTCTCTAAAATAGGTCTGGACAAGTCTCCCTTCTTATCAGTTTGAGCATGTTCCATCTGCTGTGAGCACAGTCCTAGTTTATTTGCTTAAATGTCTTTTCCTTCTGATTCTATTTTAAAGTTGTTTKGGGTGAAGGTTTTCCTTTCCAATTACTGCTGCTGGGGGGGATTGCAGCAAAGTTTCCTTTGCAGGTTTTGCAGCTAATGAAGGGGAAGACAGGGACAGTCCCTGCCCCGCTCTGGTTAAGGGTGGGCTCCAAATCCCCCTTGCAGCCCTTAGTGATCTCTGCAGCCCTGGTGGTTATTTGTCCTTTCTCCTTTTCTTTTGTTGTCATAATTGAGAGAAAAGGTTTGGAACTACAAAATGCCCAGGGTTGGGTGCACTTAAGCCTGGGGATGCATTTTGGAGTATGTTTTCCTTGCTCCATGTTGGCAGGCTGGGGATGCTTCTGCTTTCCTCCTCACCTCAGTCTCTCCTGTTGCTGGTACCGTATTCCCTGGGAAAYGAAGGACACGCCGTGCAGGAAAATACCAGTGTTGGGGGTACCAAGGGCAGGAATATGGGGGTACTCAGCTGGTGCGAGCTCTGCTGTTCCRCATTCATAGCTGGAGAACAGGATGGAACGCGCTTGGGGAGCAGCGATTCTCTCCATTCCTTGCTCCAAATAGCTTTGACGTTTCCCTCCCTGCCACCAGCTTGCTCCTTGGAAGCTCCTTGGGGCAGCAGTGGTGCGAGGGGCCGGGGGTGGCCAGCGAACATCTCCCAGGCTTCCCTCTCCCCATGGAGCAAGCCCAAGGACGCTCTTTTAGGCATTTCCTAGGCATTTTCATAGCCTGATTCATCAACATTTTAACACTTCTTTCTTCTTTTTTTTTTTGTGCTTGTAGAGCTTGGGGGTAGGTTTAAAGATATGAATCACTTATCTGAAGAGTAGTAGATTCGAGCTTTCCATATGCAAGGCTGGTTTGATTTGAATTTCTTGACTTATTCTAAGTGAGAAGCTGAATTCAGTCTCTTCTTTCTTTCGACCTTCCTGGCTCTCCTGGTATCCAAAAATGCAAAATGACATCTTGCCTCAGCCCACCAGAGCAGATGCGTTGCAGAGGATTAGACTGGAAATATTCCTAAAATGCAGCGTTCTGAGATGTTTTTGGAAAACGTAGCTGGGAAGCAGAGTACGTGATGTTCGCTTGATGCTAACCCAGCAAGACAGTAAATATACAGCAAGGGAAATCTGTAGGCACAAGCACCGAGGCAGCGCTGCCAAAAYGGGGGAGGCCTCTTGTTAGGGGATAGTGCCCTAAAGGAGGAGCCGAGTGGTGAGCCAGGAGGACGGGCACCAGGAGAGCCTCATCTGMTGGCCAGATGGGCACAGCCAGCGTCACAGCTGCATGCGGGTGCAGGAGGAAAAGCAGCAAAGCTCCTGATCACTAGGCTAGCCCAGAAGGTCTCCTGGCATTTGARGATGTGACATGTTTGTGTAGGGTTAGGAGCATGGCTCAGGGTGGACATAGCAGAGGCCACCATAGATCTATAGGCTCTGCATGTGTTTGGCTGCTAGAAACTCCTGTTATGTGTCKCCTTTCTCTAGCTGAAGTATTCCCCTGACTGCTCTCTCTCCTTCCCCATGCATTTTTACTCCATCTTGGTGGTACTCAGGGTTTGGATAGGAGCAATGTGGCTAGAGGTGGATATTTAGGGCTACTGCGTTCTCACCCATAGTTTTTTGGGGGGAAACTGGTGGATCAACAAAGAGAAGCAGCAGCTTCATCACCCGTGGAGGAGGAAGCTGAGAGCTGGATCCTGAGGGATTGAAGTCTGCTCCTGTATGGCAGGGAACYGAGGGTGGTGGCTCTGCATCCCCTTGGCCTGGTTGATTCAGAGCAGAAGAAAGTAAATACTGTGGAGTTAAGATGCTCGTGGAGCAAGAGCTGTGTAGGAGGATATCTTAAACTTCTGAGCGATGGAAAAAAGCTGCTGAATCCTAAAATCATGCATGAAATTCAGCTCTCCTATCCCCRCCCTGTATCTCCAGTCCAAATTTCTTTAATTAGTCAAGGTCTTGACTTGGGTGGAGTTTTAGGGTAAAAGTTTGCAGGCTTGTCRAGAAAAACTTGGAAAATCAAAGGGATGGGTGGGAAGGCAAATTTGTCAAAAGGTGTAATTTTATATGGGAACAAAAGCAGGGGGGAAAAAAAGCTTTTTAAGTTATTATGCCTTTTTTTTTTTTYCCCAAGAGTCATTGACTMAGCCTAAAAAGAAAATAATTGAATCCTTTGCTTGACACCCCGAGTCTCTATCTCATGGTAAATAACAAATCAGTCTGCAAGGAAGCTGTGTAGGTGCCTAGAAGCCTGCGGGAGAAAGGCTGAGCCTTGTAGGAAGGATTTAGTCCAGTGTGGTTAGTACAAAATAAATGAATTCCCATCTGAAAAAGGAGGAAGCGATGATCAAAAAAGGGGCACTTGCAYAAGCTTTGTGGCATGGTGTTTGGGAGATAGGAATGCAAATGGAAGAACACGAAGGAAAAATTAGAAAAATATCAAGTAAAACTCTCTCCCTACAAGCAACCTTTTCATTTCACATCGGCTATGTCTGGCATGATTTTGGTCCATCAAATCAATAAAGTCCTAGAGGGAGAACCAAGGATATCTTAAAAGCAGACTGAATTAATTCCATTTCAGAGGAGAAGACCACCCGTCGAGTCTTCGCGGGCGCTTTGATCCAAACCCATGAACTCAGCTAGAACTTGAAGGAAATGTTGAGCAATGTAATAACGTGAGCCCCGACCAGCCGCCAGGCAGCGGGGCAAATCTGTCACAATTCACTATTAAGTAACACTTCAAGTCTCAGCAGTGCTGTTTCATTCCACCATACAACTAAGAGGTCCCTCTTGGCTTCACTTTTAATTAATTAAGTCGCAGCAGTGGCGAAGGCAGCGCTGCAGCAGTTGCTTTCAGCCTAATTGTTCTCCAGGCAGGTCTGCAGCTCTCCTGTAGAAATCCCAGCCTTGTCTCCGGCCTCAAGCTGCACAAATGAAGTTGCTGCTGCTAAGGCAGTTTGTTTCCTGTTCCTTGGCAATCTGTTCCTCATGCAGAGCCCGCCGCAGCGTGGACTTATTATTTTTTAACAAATGGCAAAAAAATTAGTTTCTTTAAACAAATGGCAAAGGCATTTGCCATCTACTGAACTGCTTTTAGACTCTACCCACACTTAAAAAATTGAGGTTTTCCATGTTGGCATCCTGTGAGTTTCGGCAGCAGAGTTTTGTGATTGTGTAACGATTGGGAAACAAGCCTGGTTTGATAGATCCCAGTGTAACTGCGAAATTGTTCTTGTTCCTTGGTCCAGCATATATGATAACATGCTCCTTCCCATTCCTTCCTGTGTTGTTCTGGTCTTCTATCAACAGAACATGCTTTCTCCATGCGCAGTGGTCAGGGGCACCTTGTTCCCAAAGGCTGACAAGCAGAAGGATGTATTTCATACCACAAGGCTCTGGTTTCCCATCTCAAACTACAGGACAGACACAACAAATTAAATCAACTTATGCTTAGTCACATCTTTTTCATTTATATCAAAACTGCTGCCACTGAAGCAGAAAACATTCTTGCGCTCTCCACATTGTTCAAGCTGAAAATTAACCAGCTTTTGCACATAATGAAACTCATACTTCATCACTTGAAAATAATGGGGCTGGTGGTATATTTTGAAAGCACAGTGACTTACAGTTGCAATGAATCAGTCTATTACTGATGCAAGGGGGAGTATTTCCTCTTCCATCTTCCCCGCTTCCCTCTCTGGGTCTATTGGTGTGAAGTCTGTGCCTAAAGTGATCGCTGTTGTTGCCCAACAGAATTAAGACGGCGCCGGGTGTGAAGATAGTGGACGTGCGAGTCAGCGACGCCGACCAGTGGGGCGTGCAGGAGGAGACGGACAGCGAGAGGACCACTGCCATCATCACGTGCGTGCTCAACGACCCAACGGCCGAGAACAGGTAGGCGGCCGAGCTCTGTCCTACATCAACTCCTGCTCAAATGCTGTGAGAGACCGCGCTGGCTCCTTCAATAAATGGTGTTACTCTTTTAATAGGGCGTATTATCCTTTTCAGCTTCCTTGGAGAAGCTATGGGTGATCTAACATGAGCTTGCTTTTCTTATGTTTCACTTCTGAGCTCCAGAAGTAGATGATCTAATTAAATGGGAGGCAGTCGACAGGTCCTGGCTCCTATTCCCTTCTCTTGCACCTTCAGGCAGTGGGAGAATTCCTGTTGCCAAAGGATTAATAAAAAGGAAAGGATTAAAATAGAGAAATATGAAGAAAAATTGAGAGCAATTTTGGACAATGCTGTCTGTTTTATATGGAAAGCTATAAAGGTAATAGCTATTAAGTGTTATTCATTAGTGCTCCAAAACACCTGTGGGTGTCTATGAAATGTCTCGCGAATACTGTGCACATTTATTGTGGTAATAYCCTAGCAAACTATGTTCAAAGTAATGATAAATTTACATTGTTAGTCAGAATTGCATACTTTTCAGTATAAGCAGTTCTCTATTACTGTGTAGTTATTCTACACTTAAGGTACTCTGTGCGTACATATAGTTTGGAATTGTATCATAATTAGGAAAAACRTGTCAAAACTTTAGCTTTGGGAGTCTTCCTTCTGCATTAATCCTTTTTTAAAAGCTCCTTTAAGGGAGAAAAGCCTGTGTTAGTGGCAGTGTAGACCTAGGAAGGCTGTTTTGATATCTGGAAGTGAATAGTGAGTTTCTGCTCTCATTGCTGAAGTTTTATCAGAGAAAGAAATTAACCCCACTTAACTTTGGATACTGCAGTGCTTGTGTTGAAGTATAAGCTCTTTGCTGTGGGTTCCTTTTCAGTGACGGGGGCACTGAGGCACTGCTAAGGTGCAACAGACCTGCAAGCAGCAAGCAAAAAGAGCCTGTTTCCCCCCAGKAAAGCTGCAGAGACTGGAGGTGACGAGGTCAGATGCACAAATTTGCATTGGAAATGCAGGAAGCGAAGGGAAGTGATTCCCAGGCTCCGTGTCTCTAGTTAAGTCAAGGRGTACAGAGCTTTCTGGCATGAAATGTCAGGAAAACACTTCAGTTCATTAGCTGCTTCATTGAGTTCCTCTCCACTAAGACAAAGAAAGAAGTTTCCTCTTGTTTCCAAAAACATTTATAAAAGTTGTAAATTTGAATTTGTGGCTGTAGGAAATTTTTGCCCACTTTCATCTTTTTTTCTTTCTTTTTTTTCCCCCCAAGGTTTCATGGGCTGTTACAGTGATAATTCAGAGCTCTGGCAGCTACATTAAACTTTGCCAGCTTTGTTTCTGAATCCTCAGTTTCCCYAGTCTCTCAGCAAGATTTCCTAGTTCCTAAAAAAGTGCTTGAAAAAGCCGGTGCATCCCGGTAGCGCAGCACAGCCTCGTCCTGCTTTTGCACATTGATGCCCAACATTTTGGCAGCGAAATCTCAACCTGATTGACCCAGACCTCAGTGCTCATACTGTATCTGCCCTCCGCTGCGTTTGTGTGTTGGGTTTTCTGCTAAAATGTGGTGACCTTGGAGCAGTGTGGAATGACAGCAGGGTGAAAGCAAAATGCTGAGGTTCAAGGAAGTTTTGAGATGGTGGGTGCTGCAGAGGAAGCAAACTRTCTATGACACTCAGTTGGGATTTTCTTTTTAAGTTAGGCAAAAAAAAAGAGGAGGAGARCACGGAAACTTATTGCCTTGTGTGTGGTTTCACTAATCCATGAAATTATACCTGTCACAGTAACTTAGTTTTAATAAAAACTGCTTTTTGCTTTGTGTTGAACTGTTAAATTGCATAAAAGCAACGCATCTCAAGTTAATTAATAATATGACCCTTTCTTTTGTGAGATTAGTTTTAATATTTTTGGATTAATTAAAGTATGCAAATAGAAACTGCTGAAAGATCATTTCCAGATTTGCAAATATTGTAGTGCTTAGAGTAAATATTTAGCTTTGATCTTTATTTTAATTTGCTTTTTTCGGTCATAATGGAGGCACTCATGTTTCTTTTGAAGAACATTAGAAGTTCAACTGCTTTATTTAAATCAACAAGGACGTGAACTTGCTTCTGTTAAGGTCAGCGTAGCAAAACCATCACTAGAGCAGGTTCCTCTGTTCCTCCTAATTCAAGGAGCTTCATTATAGCGCCTCGTGTATGAACAAGGAGTGCAGGATCAATCTCCTTCATTGTGGAGCAGCACCTCTTAGTAAGCACAATAGTTCCTACCTCAAGGAAGCCAATTTTTCCTTTCTGGGAAAGGAAAAGTGGGAAGGGAGGGTGAGCTGGGGCTGAGCCCATGCGGAGCAGGAGGCTGCCGAGTTGGCCACCACGGTGGCAATGTCCTTAGTGCAGAGATGTGSTCCCCGTTCTGGCCGCGCATCCTTCCCCAGTGCGTGATGCTGATAAGAGCCCCAAGGGGCCGACAAGTCTGCTGCTGCCAGCAAGGAGAGCAGCAGCTCTGGGTCGCTTYGCGCTCGTGATCCACCCTTCATCCCTTTTAGCTGGTGTTATCTCCCGGAGCCCTTTCAAATTTGCTTACTTTTCTAATCTTTCTCCTTCTCCTCTCCGCAGTGTTACCATTATCATGAGTTTTTCATCTCCGTTTCTCGTATTTCCTCTCGCAAATTCATTAAAATGCTTTAAATTAAGACCTTTCCTCCTTTCATGAAGAGTGCATCATGCCTTTTTGTGCAAAACTTAAAAAAAAGAAAAAAAATCCTTATCACAATGTTTCAGGCAGTTTACATTATATTCTATTAAAAATCCATTTTGTCCAAGGTTGTCACAATTCACAGATTAAAGCTTTCCAGAGTGTGTTTTGTTAGGAATACATTTATAAATTCACCTCTTTAGTAGTCCTGTAAGCTTGTATTTAAAACCACTTTTTGATAGTGCAGTTGAAGAAAGGGCATGAAAAGGAAAAGAAGAGATTTATTTGGAATACGCGTGCACGCCGTGTGCCGCTCCATGGGGAGTGTCCCTGTGCTTACATGTTGTTCATAGGCTCCCACTTCCCAGTGGGGTTTGGACAGGGGCTAGAGTGACTCCTTAGGGAAAGGATGATGCCAAGCCCCYGAATTCAGGACCAGGGAAGTCACTCGGCAACCTTTGTCCTGTAATGTGGGGAAGAGCTGAGTGTGCAACATAATGAACTGGCCTGGCTCTTTCCTCCCAGTGCTTATACACTTGTCACTGTGCTTGTCTCAGAGGTGTCATGGGCAAAGAAATGCCCGGAATGGGAACGGCCTCCAGTTCCCGCAGGAGTTTGGTCTCTGGCCCCAAGAAGGCACTGTCCCCTGAGCCATTGTTGAAGAGTTTTATCCTAAATAGGCCAGTTTTAAGGTTGAGACCCCTATTATGAGCAGTGGAGTGTGTTCTCCTTTGTGTCTTCCAGTGAGAAGCATCCACGTGTATTTTTCAAGCGTAAATGGCTTACCAGAGTTACAAAGCAAACCTGAGTTACAAGAATTTTTAACTAGCCTTTATTCTTTACATGTATGCCTCTGTGTATAAAAGAATGCAAGCCTCCTTGGAAATGTTTCTGTAAAATAAAAGCGCTGACATCTCGCAGTASCTTGCAGAGGACAAAAATAATAGATAAATTACCAACAGTAGGAAGGACCACTTAGCGTGGAAAGCTGTAGTTCTAGGATCAAGTGGGAATATATAATTTCTGGAGCTTTTTTTCATTCAYGGCCAGGGACAATGAAATTGCCCTCTCCTGGAGGGAGCCTAATAGCCTGATAACTACATGAATTCTTTCCTGGCCTGCCGGCTTTTTCTTCTTCAAACTCTGTTAGGCTCTCTGCTGCTTTGGGGAAGTGCCCAGTGGAGGTGGGTCACAAGGATTACCAGGATAATTGTTTCCTGGCCCCATTTCATGCRTCCAAGAAGGCAGTAACACAGTGACTCTTCTTATCCCATCTTTGTGCTGGTATGGGACCTTTATTAAGGCCCCTGGATATCTTTTTGAACAGATATAATTTTGTTAGGCTGTTGAGCAATCAACCCCAAGAAGTGGTCTAAGCTCTTCACAAGACTAGCCTGCAGAACCTCATTGAAAACCTACTGGCATTCCTGAAGTCTACTAAAGAGGTTAGATCACACTAAATCCAGGCATTCTGAATGATGTATCTTTTGAAATATGGGTCCAATCATTCTGAAACGAGTCTTGTTTTTCAATTTGACCTAATTAGCTTCATTTTGGAGACATCATTCCTACATGTGAATCTTAATATTGATGTAACAGTTGGCAAACTTTAATTTCAGGGTAGGGTAGTTTGCGTAATTAGGACTGTGAGAATAGAGCGGGGAGGCTGTGAGCAAATTTCAAATGCATGCTGAGTGAGCGAGCRACTGTGGAAGCAGTTATTCATCCAGTGGCGTTTGCATGGTTTTCCCATATTGGATGCCAAAGGGAGTGATGACATATTGAAGAGTCAGTGGGCATCGTTCAATCCCCACCAGTCTACTGTCTGTTATTTCCCATGCAGACGACAGCACATGAGTTACTATAGGAGACTTATGACAAAAATCTGTAGTTTTGGCAAATTTCTGAATCTTTCCTCTACTGCCATGGAGATACATGCGCATATTCCTGCTATGCTTAGCTGAGACCTCAAGAYTGAAGGAGAAGGCCTAAGTAAGATTGGCTGCTGGCTCACTGCTCCTGTARCAGATCTCTGACTAAAAAGAGATTTTACAAGAGTAAAATACAGGTGTCAGAGATTGTTTTTCGTCTCCCTTGATATCTTAGAAGGCTTGCATGAGGTGTACAGTGATYTAAGCAAGCCTGGATTCAGAAGAGTGTAGTTATGTAGGGAGCCACTCAAGTGCACACTTGGTTGTAAGTACCTACCTCAGTTCTGTTGATGTGGTTATAATGATAAAAGAGGTACTCAGCCAGCAATTAGGGGCAGCACTATGCTCAAGATATAAGTCTTGATGGTAAGCCAAGTT